CAGCAATAATGTGCCCAAAATGTGAACAAGTTCAAGTGATGTGAACACTTTTGCTCACCTTTGACCGCAATGTCAGCTACTAATTGTCACTCACTTATTCACATATTCTCAAAAAAAAAAAAAAAAAATACCCATAAATCTGGAACTGCACATGGGAGCATCATGTGTGGCCAATGTGTGGCTGCGTTGATTCGTCCACTCCTCTTGATTAATCACCCGACACAAAAGCTCACACAGAGACCAGTTTCTATTGTTAAACAGAACTTCTTAGCAGAGAGCAGCGGCCCTATACATGAAGAAAATCCACCCGTGAAAAGAAGAAAGGGAGTGACCTAGAAATATATTAGATAACTGTTGTGCAGAGCATGTTTCAAATGCAACATGCCGAGTGCTCAACGCGATTCAAACACGGCCCACAAAACGCAGAAGCAACTTTTAACACAGAAATGCTCTTTGAGTGAAAGCACGGGGAACATTTCCAGTGTGAATGGCCATTTATCTAAAAGGAAGTCACAAAATGAACACGCTTCCTCTGTGGTTCACTATTAAACTGATCTGTGAATGTATGCAACTTGCATGGGGGTGGAAAAAGAGGGTTGTTCTTGGAAATTAAATGTGGAAAGCATGTAATATGCAGCCAGCTCCCACCATGCCATCACTGATGCCTCTGACACTGGCTTTCTCTGCTCTCTTCCCATCCGCATGTTTTATTCACGGCTGATATTCTTAAAGCTGAAACTGAACAATCTACCCCCCCACTTTGCGCTCCCTCTGATTTTTGCAGATGAATATTTCAGAGGAATGTCAGAGAAGATGGAGAAACACCCCTCTGCCGGGCTGGCGCCCGACTCACGTCTTTACAGCTTAGGTGATCCTCGCGCAGGACTCACTTAAGTGGCAGATTTGCTTAATTTCCTGCATGATTTAACAATTTGGGGAGAGAGCGTTCAGATGCATGACAGGGCCAGAGAGTGAGAGAAGGAGTGGACAGCGCACAAGTGGAGAAAAGTGAAAAGATGAGAAAGGTAGATGAAGACAGAGGGAGAAAAGCCCGCAGGACAACCGAGAAACTAACAGAACCTTTAAATGAACTTAAGTCGTTAGACTTGACTCTGGAAGCAATTAAAAAGTGGAGAAAAAGTCTGAATTTCTTCTTAGTTGAGATAGAAATGCAAATAACACCAGATGAAACAAACGGATAAATATCAGACATGCAGAAAGAAAAAAATGTAGTAAATGAACAAGACAGGAGCACATCTGCTCCTGCTTTTTCCAGACTCTGATGTCTATTTATACCTGACTGGAATGCCAGTGAGTGACTGGCTCCCCTGATTGGCACATTCACACATGCACTCACACACAGCATGCACAGGCAGGGCTATTGTTCTGTTTCCATCTAAAGAAACCCATGTGCACTACAACAACACAGCCGTAGTGGAAACAATGGGAAGACAGAACACAGCCTGGCGATTCCTCTGTCACAGATACACACATTACAAGGGTAAGGAAGTAAAGATGGCACTCACAGTCTCTCGGTGTTGCGGGGAATACTCCTTGGCATAGTTTTGAGACCCAGTCCATGGCAGTCCACTGTGGTGCCGCTGCAGGTACAAAGTGCCGGGCAGGCGCTGGCATTGCCCACCATCAGGGCAGAGAGCATCAGCAGCCACATCCACTGCCTGGGCAGCCTACCCATGCTTGATTCAAAACCTCCAACGGGCATGTTCCAAGCCTCTTCTTCTTCTCCTTTTTTTTACTTCTTTCTGTCCAGCTTTTTTTGATTTTCACCTTCCTTTGGCTCCCACAAAAGTCCTGCCACACCTTACAAGTCAGCTGAAATAATTTTATTTAACAGGAAAGTATGAATAGAAACAAAAAATTAAAAAAAAAAAAAAATAGAAAAATCTCCTACACAAATCCTACAGTTCTGGTGATGCAGCTTTGATATCCACTATAGTTTGCCCATGTAAAAAGGAGATGTTTTCCTTCTTTCTTTCCTTCTTGCAAACTCCTGTGCTGTTTCGTCTTTGTGGAGTTGGTGTGCTCTGGTCGGCATGCGTCTGTCCTCCTCTTACTTAGTCCTGCTCTGCTCCGCTTGCCTGAAGAGAGAGGGAATAGGGAAAGAGCAGAAAGGAAAAAAGCCAGTCTCTCTCTGTCTCTCTCTCTCCCTTTTACACACACACAAACACACACACGCGCGCGCGCACACACACACCAGTCATCCATCACAAGGATCTACAAATAGCAGAGCCCCCGACTCCACCCCTACCCCTCCTGTTCACCCTCACTTCTCTCCCTCCTCATACAACCCCCCCACCCCCTCCGACGCAACCCTGCCTGAACTCACACTCTTTCCTAAGATCCCTCTTTCATTCCCTTGACTCTCTTCACAATACAAATCTACTCCAACTATCTTCCTCTTTTCAGCTGCTTCTTACACACTTACCCGACTCATTCTTGTGTCTCTGGTTTGCCTCCAGGCGAACCCCACAGAGAGAGAGACAGACAGACAGAGAGTCCTAACCTGCGTGACACTACAAAGCCTCTGCCCGGAGCGAGAGAATCCACAGGGGATGGGAAGAATCAACACATCGGTCCAGAAAGGTGGAAAAAAAAAAAAAAAGACTGAATAAATAATCAACAAGTACAGTATCTTTTGCACATTTTTTGTCACGCGGCAGCCACTTACATCACTTATTCTTCACTGAGATTTTTAGGTGGAGGCAAAATCATGTGTGCTTTTTTTTTTTTATTATCTCTCCCTCTAAAAAGTCCTCTCTGCATTTACTCTTATTTAAAATCTAGCACAAAGAATCATCTTAATGCTCGAGACATAAAGACGGTATACAGAGGACACCCAGTTAGTTCATGAAATGCAGTTCATTTAATGAGTAAATCCGGCCCCAGAGGTTTGCTATAGAGCATCGGTGAACAAAAAGCATCGTACGGACCAAGAAACACAGCAGGACAAAGATAAAGATCGAGCGAAACCGAAAGCAGGTTATGTGGTAAAACATGGCTGTGGCAGAATCATGCTATGGGAATTATTTTCATCAGCAGGAACAGGAAAGCTAACCAGAGAAGATGGGAAGATGGCTGGAGCCGAATCCAGATTTGAGACTCCTTACAGCGTTAGGCAAATTTACAAATGTATCGGTTCAGAGACCTCCAACTCCAGTCCTGAAGAGTTACTCTGCTGTAACTCTTAAAGACATTCCTCCTCCAGCACAACTAAAAAATGCCTTTGTAGAAGGTGATGACATGTTGAGAATGTAGTTCAGCTGTTTCTTGGTTTGTTGGAGAAAGGAAGAGCAAGATGCAGGATGTAGACTGAAGTCGGAGAACGGCATATTTGTGTTTCATTCAATGTCCAGAACCAAATACAATCAGCTGATGTTCAGATGTGCTCTTCATCTAATCCGACTGAGCTTAAGCTATTTCAGAATGGGTGTGAACACTTTTTCATGTCTTTACTTGTGTATCAGGGGAAGCAGCAACAGACACTACAAAGTGTTAGAAGGGAAAAAAAAAAAAAAAAAAACTCATAACCATAAAAAGTCAACGTTCCGTTTAAAGCACTTCATAATCAGACAGAAGAGTTAAAACATTCAAATAAAAAAACTCCAGTGTACTCATACCTGCTATTTTAATTTATTAATGCAACTGGAACACAATCCCAGGCTCAGCGCCAGAACCAAGCAGTTTTTGAGTCTAAAAGTGGACTCAAAAACCAAGAGCTCTGCTGAGATGGAAAACAGTGAACAACGATTTTATTCCCCTAAAAGGACGTCTTCATATGATCACAGGGGGACATTTAGTGAAAGAAGCGTATATATTAAAGCCTGTCTGCTGTTGAGAGTGTAACTATAGCTTTCTGAGGAACTGTTTACAAGGTCAAATTTGCACTTTGTGAAAGTGCAAATCTGTACTTTAAGATGTGGCTCCAGAACAGGATCTCAAGGATTCAGGGTATTTTTGGTCATGGTTATCCACAGTGTGAAATAAATGGTAACATAAAAAAAAAATAAAAGAAAAAACAGGGAACATATTGTGAGAAATCTGAGGGGAAAAGAAAAACCTCTGAACTGGGTTTGAAAAGCAGTTTGCATGCAAAGCTTCACCCCACAATGGAACGACAACCATGAGAACAATGAACGCTGTTTAAGTATCATATAGCATGAATTTTAGCTGAAACCAAAAATGACTGTTTATGAAGAACATCTTATGTGATGAACACAAATGCATAAAGTTCAGATGCTCCAACCATCTTCATTGAGGTCGAGCAGGAGGTCTAAATATGTTCTGTGGATCATCCTTACAAGTGTTACAAAAGAAGGAAAAAACTGGAATGCAATGCTATGCGACCAACGATATTCGTATTATTATAAAACATACACATGCAGGGGAAAAAAGAAAAAAAAAAAAAAAAGCTCCATTTGTCCTTGTAAAAATGTCACTTCAGTGTAAATCTTCCCGTTATGAATTGCTAATTAAAGAGGAGACAGTGGTGTTTAGTGGTAATGGGGGGTAGAAACATCCCTCCGCTCTCACAGAGTTGATAGGAATGCACACAAGTACACAAGAATGACTTCTCGGCTCTTAAAGCAAAGCAATGAGACAACATGGCAGCAATTTACAACTGTCTGGCGGAGGAGATGTTTGCAAAACATGAGACCTCAAACAAAGGGGAATGAAAGGGCGAGTTACAACTGATTTCTGTTCTGCCGATTCAAAATTTTATATAAGCAAGTCACTTTCTAATGAGTCCAATTTACAAAATGAGAAAAGTTGCGCAGGACAAAGAAAGATGCTTCTCTGTGCTCAACTGTGACATGTGACAAACAGAAGGCAGAGTTTATGTCTGAAAAACCATGGATCAGATAGGAGTTTATAACAGAGCGGCTTCCTGTCAACGTCCATTGTGATATATTTTATAATTTTGACAGACTTGGCACATTTAGACAAAAGAAAAAAAAAAAAGAATAAATACACAGCAAAAATGAAGAACACATTTTTTGTGGAGTTTATTAGAGCATGGAGAACTCAGGTCACAGACATCAATCTGTTTTCGATTTGACAAAAGAAATATGACGCTCCGGCTGTAAAAAGCTTGCTTAGCGTTACTGAAGCTGGCTGCCGCTTATGTGAAGAACTTGAGAAAAGGACAAACTTTAACAATTGGTGAAAGTTGGTCTCACTGCCCACAAAATCTAATAATGCTTTCAATAAGGGATTAGCCTGTTTTTTTGTTTGTTTGTTTGTTTGTTTGTCTTCTTATCCTTGGTAATTTTGCCATAATAAACATTAAATTAATAATTCATTTGTAAACAGTTAACATTAACAAACATCTTATTGCTTGCAACAGCACACTGGGTCATGCGTGGATAACGATAAGCAGGAAAGCTGAGTGATCATCTCCAGAAGCAACATATTGTGTAGAAAGATTCCTACCTCACAATCATTTGCAACTAAACAGCACCCCCTCGTGGTTGCAAGAAAAAGTGCAGGACCTGACTTCACACAATCTCTAAAACACGTAAAAGTAAAAAACAAAATGTTTACAAAATGTATTTAAATAAAAAGGAAATTCAGGAAAACATCCGAAAGTATTACAGTAAGTTGCACAGCCCTACAGAAGCACCATGGGGCCAAGCAGCAGTAATCACATTATAGTTAAAGGGTAACAGCTTAAAGCGAGTATTACTCAGTTCAAAAGCGATAACAGCGCAAACTCTTTCTGTAAACACATACATTTAAAAAAATATGACAGTGGTCAGAAGAAAAAAAACACATTTGATTTTGCTTCAAGTCCATTGAATCAACCATTACAATAATAAAAAAATAAAAGCATACATAAAAAACCCCTCGCCAAAACAGGAAAAAACACCACTTTAAGATCCAAAACTGTAGTTAATGCATAGAGATACAGAGTAGCCTAAGGAAAAGCTTAAAAGTAGGAACTAAAAAGAAATGCCAGTTTAAAATATCAGTAGCATTAAAAAATTAAAAAGTGTTCACGCAACTTTGTTAAAGGAATAAAAAATAAAAATATTGTGTCACCTTTCCTTTAACTTTCTCTTCACAAGTATTAATTTTCTAAATATGGAAGCATTTATGTTAAACTAATGCAAATCAATCTTGTTGCATAGGAACTCATCTTTACAACTTAAGACGCACAGCTTAAGGCACACTTTTGAATTGGGAACTTTGGTCCAACAACATTTACTTTACAAACAGTTAATCAGCACATCACAGTTTCTTAAGACGACAGAGGAGGAACAGTGAAGGTCTTGCCATGTAAACAACAGCAAAATATAATAATCTGTGAACTGAAATTCACTGAAATTCAATAAAATATCCCCAAATTCTTGGCAGCTTAAAAACGTCACACTTGACTGACCCAAAACACACAACATCAGCATCCTCACTGTTGTGTTAAATTAGCAAGCTGCAAAGATATTCTTTGGGGTTTTATAAACCCTTAAGTTTCACACTAAAGGAAAAAACAAAAACCAAAAAGAGAGGATAGTAACTATAACATAAAACGCCTGATGTTCCCAAGGTCTTGGGGAGCACAAACCTTTAACAGCAATTCTTCCTGGCAGAGAGGATGAAAAGGGGTTAATTAGTTGTCCAATCTCCAGCTGAAAGCAACTATAATTGTTACATTTGTCAGCTACAGATGGATGAATGCAGAACGACAAGTTGCTGTTGAGCATTTAAAACAGGACAAATGCGTTAATATAATGTCAGTAATTATGGAAAATTTCAGTCTAACTGAACAAGAAACATTACTGAAGTATTTCACCACACATCTCCATCTACGTGGGATTTTATCCACAATTTCCCTCTGAGTAAAAGACTCACCAACGTGGTAAATGATTTTAAACATTTTCTACAAATAAAGAGTACCACTGTAAAAGCCAGCCTCTTTAACCCGATGCCCGTACATTCCAATAGAAGACATTCACTTTGAGGCTGAATGTTGCTATACTCACTTTCTCCCTGTGGGTGTTTTTTCATAATCTACCCATCATCAGGATCTGGGAGGAAGACTCTGCAGTGTGCCGTTTTCTTTCTCCGTAGAAGCCTTCCTCTGTTACATAAGTGGAAAACACAAATCATGTCCTTCACATAATAATGAGTTATTTGTGAAAATATTGATTAAAGCATCAAAGAGGATGCAACATAAAAGCTCGTCCGCCAACCTTGACAATTCCACCCGCAGAACGCGAACGCCAGTGTCTCTTGATGAACGGAGTTCGTGTCTCCGCAGAGGAATTCGAGTCGGGCTGCTTTTCAAACTACGAAGAAGATGGCACCTCGTTAAAGTATCGACTTAAAAAGGTTCAATGCATAGTTTGAGTTTAATTTGTCCTCTGAAAAGTCCCACTACGTTACCCGTCTGATGAGTTTTTTCTTCTTGGCAGACTCTGGCATGCTGTTGACTTGCTTGTAGAGTTCTCTGAGACACGACTCAGTGTAGCTCTGATTCTCAGAAGGCTTGATGTCGCTGGTGCTGCTGGTCTCACCTGCGATTGACCTCATAGAGTGAGAAGGTGACGAAGTTGCAATCGCAGCAATAGAGCCAGTTTTGTTTCCTGAAGAGAGATTCAAGTCGTCCTAGAAAAGTCAAGAGATATCCTATTACACACTGCGCACACAACTGACATTCAGCTGGACAAAATCTTAAATCAATCAAGCAGTATTGCAAACATCTAAAAAAAAAATAGAATTATACTTTATTTCCACACAATGGGGAAATTCCTGTGCAACAGCAGCAAAGAGAAAGACAATCAATGAAAGTAGGTTTACATCAAAATGGGAATAAGTCATATGTAAAAACAGAATACAGAAAAAAACACATAAAAGAAAAAAATTCAACAAAAATAAAACATTATGAATATTTCCCTGAATAATTCATAGAAAATACGTGTACAGCATTAGCCATTGTTTTAGCTACAGGGCATGGGTAAGGAGTGGTTTGTTTAGATACAATGACAATGAATGGATGTAAAATGGGGGACTGAGTTCACAAACAGATCCAGAACATTGCTACAAACTTCTCTATTAAGACGAAAAGAAAAAAAAGAAACACACTTACATTCGACTGAAGCGTTTTGGATCCAGTGTAGAATAATCGAGCATATTCTTTGATATAGACAGGTGCCTTAAACGATATAAAATATGTGCAATAAAGTCGGAGTCTGATGAATCTCATTTATTATGCACCGCATTAAGTCACTATCAACGAAAACATGAAATGCACCAAAAGCAGTCAACAGAACACATTTGACATTTCAAAGCATGCACACATAATGAATCATTGTTTATGACACAGAATTTAGAAACGTATAAAGACTTCACTATTTGATTTGTAAAGGTGTTTTAAAATGGAAAGAAAGTTAAAGCTTCCTGAGTCACTATTTGACAAAGTAAAATCAACTCAATGGAAAGAAAAATAGAAAGGTTTTTAGGTGATCACAACACAGGTCAGCCATGACATCAGTAAGGTAAGGCTGCTCATTTTATCATTCAGCTAAGAATATCTGTATCTTAAATGCTAGTTTTTCAGTTGTTTCGTTCTCAAATACTTGAAGAACAAACAACCCCCTGCATGGAGATGGCTCTGAAATAATATAGCTGCTGCTGGGAATTGTAATAACTTCACGACTGACTGAATGTCAACGCATATCCGTCCTTGTCCGGATGTTTCGGAGTGTGCATTAAAGAAATCGGTGGGAATGTTTCATTACACAGCAGGGTGATAGGACTTGATGGCTTCGAACGGATGACTAAAGAGCTTTTCAGGGAGAGTAAATCTGACTTCAGTGTGGTTGTGTGTCTGCATGCAGGACACCTGGCCGAAGGCACAGAAGTTTCACAACAAACAAGCTGAAAATGGCCACAGTGAAGGATTAGGATACCACATACACGGCCGTTTGATCAAAAGCTCCTACTCAAAAAAATCTGAGACAATCATGACCTCTCAACTTCTGAAAATGAATCTTAGTGAGTCTGATCATAATTTACAAAACACTCACGAAGAGCATTTACTGATTTCTCTCTGTGCCAATTCTCAGTTCATATTCTTTAAGGTCTGCATTTCTTGTAACCCTGGCAACATCCCAGCTTGATAACTAATGAAAAAAGACAAAGCTATCAAAAGGAACTTAGTGAATCCAGATTTGATCCTCGTGTTGAAATCAGAGACACTGTGCTTTTGATCGGCAGTTCAAGACAATCAGCACATCTCACTGATTGTCTTTAACAGTGAGATGACTTTCGATTCTCACCTCGGGGAAAATTGGCTTAAATAAAAGACACACTTACAATGTACATCACTCTAGTCATTCTATTCAGTTAAGCAGCAAACTAAGTGGATTACCTTGAACAATTTTTGCGAGTGCCGAATGAGAAACGCTACCCCGTTATTCAGTTTCTCTATGTTTCCCTGGAGATCACTTGCTGTCACCTGCATCAGAATATATATATAAAAAAATACATAAGAAATTATAATAAAAAAACGTTCTGAAATTCTTTCGATATTTCAGAAGATCCTCACATTTTTGGGCCAGATGATATGTGGAGCAAACATTGTTGCTAAATTAATAGCAGACATCTTGTTCATGTGCTGGCTGCGGGCCGTGTGGTACAATAAGTCCAGCAGCAGCTTCAACAAGCTCCGGTTGGCCGGTGGGAGCAACATAAAAAGCAGCTGAAACGCCTCAATCTGGCGGGCCTTATCGGGGACATTAGTCTTATTTCCCTTTTCGTCAAAGCAGGTCAACTCTGGACAAAGCAAAGAGAAAAAGATGATAAAAAAAAATATAATAAAAAAATACCAAAACGGGCCAAAATTCTGTGCGATTCAACAAATACCTCCGATCTTCAGGTGAGCATGGTAATGTCTATGCATGAGCAGAGGCTCTGGCAGCTCTCCCAGGAACACCTTGAGCAAAGTGGCGGCATCATTGGGATGGAAGTCACCTGTCTCCAGATCTATCTCAGTGCCGCTGTTGAGCATTTCCCTTAGGGCCGCCTGCCTCAAGCTGTGGCCTGGCACCCGAAACAACCCCTCCACATGAAGGTCTGGGGATCAGCGAAAGAGAGAGATAACCAGAGGGGAGGAAGGAGTAAGGAGGGCAGTGTGTGGGCGTTTTGGACACAGAGTGATGAAGACAAACACACAAGGGCAGAGAAAGAGGCAGACGAGATGTGGTGAATGAAACTGAGGGAGAGAGTCAGCAAGAGCAAAGTGCTTTCAGATGAATTATTTACTGATGCATTTGCTTCTAGTGTCCGCTTTCAGCAAGTGACATCATTCTTTTCTAGAAATAAACCATGACCTCATGGTAACTTATTGTTCATAAAGAAAGTTGTGGTGCCTCAATTTTTGACAAACGTAACTCTATTAGTAGTGAAAAAACAAACAAATGAAAGTCTGATCCAAGTCAAAGATTCAATCACGAGTTTTAAAGTAAAAAGTAATGATATGTGGTATTTCTTTTTTATGTTTGAAAGCATATGCATAGTGCTTTGAAAAAATATTCATACCTCCTTATACTTTTTCACATTTGTTGCTTTGCGCTATTTTTTTTAGCTCAATTCAATTCAGTTTATTTATAAAGCACCAATTCACTACAAATGTCAGCTCAAAGCAAAAAAATAATAATAATAATAATCATTTCAATTCTAATTGATCCTGGTTATCAAACAATAGAGTGTTCTCAATTAATTATTCAAAGTAGTTTAAAAAACATTTATATCTAAGGAAACCCAGCAGACTGCATCAAGCCATTACAAACATCCATGTATTTTTTAGGATTTTATGTCACAAGCAGTGAATACAATTGTAAAACACAGGGCAGACGATGAATAGTGTTCGAAATTAAATTGAGAAATTGATACAACAAAGTTTAGCTTTTTCTTGTTTAATTCATTTCACAAATATTGTTAGATATTTGTTAAATATGCAATTTTTTGAGAAAGGTTTAATCCTTTTGAAAGGCAATATATGTACAGTTTCATCACATCAAGGTGTTAATAAAAAGTCACTAAAACACAATCGTGACTGTATAATGTTTGTATGTAATTATGATGCCATAACCCTCCTTTCAGGAAAGCATGTAAACTTACTTTTACTCAGGTATTCAATGAGCTGACAGATCTGAGCTATTCCTTCTTCAGTTAAGGGAGCTCCAAATATCACTCCTTTTTCTGTCAAGCAACACAATAAAGAACATTATAACGTGTATTACAAAATAAATCATCTTTTAATATGTTGAATTTGTGTGCATTATCCAAATCTTGTTCCATAGTATACCAAGAGTGTGCAAAAAAGCCATCCAGAAGGCCATGCGTAAAGAAAGAAATAAAGAACGAGCTTAATCATTATAAAATTGAATTTGCAGTCGTGTAATAATTAACTAAATATCTTACTGCTGCCTACAACAGTAAGATGCAGCCAAAATGTAAATAAGTTGGAGTATGTTTATCTGTATGCATTATTAAAGGAAAAACACAACTCATTTGTATGAAGTAGCTGATTCCAAAACCTGTGCACATTAACACCACTTACCTTTCCGTTTGCGGAAGTTGAAGGAGCGCAGAAACCCGGTGGACGTCGGCACCTTCGGCACCGACTCTCCAGTCAGCTGGGCGAACTCGTCCCCTGGCAGATCTATGAGCCGGGTAATATTGCTAAGCACCAAATCCGCGAAAATCTGCGGATGCTCATGCCTAAACCTCTCCACAAAGAAGTCCGGGTTACAGATTACAGGCTCGCTCGCGTCTGGTTTTTCGTGACAGAGGAACACGCTGCAATTTGTCTCCCTGCAAAGAAACAGGCATTAACACCATCAGCTTGTTATTACATTTAATAGAAAGTTTCTAGCCGGGTACCAAAAGTGAACGACTGAAGTAGGTACTGAGCAAACCTATCAGTCTGCCAGCTGTTGCTAGGTTATTTGGTTAAGCTGGGTTGGGCTAGCATGTATTTTTTTATGTAACGTTTGTAATAGTACAAGATAATACTATATACTTTCAATACCATTTAAGGAAGCATACTGTTTTCATATTACTACTGTAGTCTGTTCATTCACTTATATAATGATTGAAAATGTGTTACCTTCTATCATGCTTCTCAGTGTTTTGAGAACAATTTTTAGTCGCCATCTTCGTTTTGAATCTTCCGCGGCTTCATGATGGTCACGCCCACGACGTAACGTACGTAACGACCGTTAAGCCACTGACGGATGGGAATTTCGGCTCTTTCCGGGGCTCTAAGAGCCGAAATGCCCGCGTCCGATCTGAGACTTGCTAGGTTTTATTTGCTATTTTACAAGCTCACAATCCCACGATTTTGAATGCATGTATGGTTGCAAAATTTACAAAAGATTGATTTGCCAACTTATTTCATCGTCAAAGACCATGGCAGCTTTGAAATTCTGTGGCAATTCATCTTCCGCAATTTACATAAAAATGTGAGATGCCAAAATCATACAAATACAGTAGCTTAGTTTAATTGTCTTTAGATATTGCCAAATGTACTAACAAAGGATTATTTAACTGTCCTGACTTTTCAAAGATTAGAATAAATGACCATTATTTGGCTTCCATTAATCTGCACAATCTGTTGTTTGTGTAAGCATTGTTGACTTAGACAAATATAAATTATAATGAGTTGCATAAATTGATTATTTTTCATCTTTTTTCGAACTACCTTCGGTGCATAAGCTGTATGAAACATGTTTAAACTGCATTACTTATGGGTGGTTAAATGTACAAACTTTGCCAACATAATATATTTAAAATACATACAGCAGCCAATATTTACCTATAATCTGGTTTAAAAAAAAAAAAAGTATTTAAAAAGCATCAGAAGCAACCTTTGACTCTGCTAGAAAATGATTCATTTCTGACTTTAAATAGAAAATATTTCCAATACAAAGATCATTTTTCACTGAGAAATCAGTTTTGATAGAGACAGTCCCCAAGCGTCACTGTCCACGCACCTGTGTGTTTTGATGTTTAATTTTCTCAGAAAATGGATTGGTCAGGAGCCTTTGCTTCAACACATGAGTCCCCCTCTGTAAAAGTTGCCATGGTGACACCCTAGTAAGAAGTAAGCCAGTCATAGGCAGTAAACCTGCCAAGTTACAACCTGAGCTTCAAAGCAAAAAAAATATTTAACTTGTAACATATCTGTCTTAAATTAGATATACAGAGATGACACCCATCAGAAAAAATTTTGTTTCTGATTAAATTACATTAATCAAAGATTTATTTCATGCAAAAAAGGCAAATTATATTAAAAAAAAATCTGTGTGATTTTTTTTCCTATTTTCTCACAACTGATGGTGAAAATTACAGACACCTCCATTATTTGGAATGAGGAAAATCTAAAAATAGTGTATCAAATACATATTTCCGCCACTGTTTGCATTGTTATCAAACCAAAGAAAATCACTGAATCTTCTGATGTTAAACAAATTATAACTTGACTGAATACTGTTAAATCATTTGCAGAGTGAAAATAAAATGCTATATAAGTCTAACATCATTTAATTTCATTTCATAATAGAGCTGCTGAAGAAGGGGAGAAATATTCCAATCTAAAATGGAAAAATAAAACTTGATGAATATCCATGCTGAAGTCTGTGATTACTTATCATTTATATATCTGAATAAATTAAAGAATTGTGGATTTATTTATTCAAGGCACATGATAGAATTTCAAATGAACTCTTGTCAGACCAAAAACATTTTTTTTAAATACTCTTAGCATTAAAAGGCTTTTTCAAATTGTTTTCAGAATTTCTTCTGTCAACCTGGCTTACTTTTTAACATGTTTTACATGCAGTAAGATCAACATTTTCATTGTAGCAAATTTTGGAAAGAATTTGCAAACATCTGTTGATTACAATTAGGCACACAATAACCTGTGTAACCTAACACAGATAAATCTTTCTCATTTTATCCAGAAAATGAAAAATATTTCTCTTTTTTTCTCCCGTATCTTCAAATCTGGTTAATATAAATAAAAAAAATTTCTACTCAATCTTTGTTGAGGTTACGTGATGATTTATTTCTGCTGTATTTCTCTCAACTGGATGGTTCCTTGTTTTATATATTAATATTAACACCAGCATAAATGCATTAAATCTATATTTGTATGCACTTCCGTACAAAGATTGTTGGTGATGCTTTGACCTCAATCTAATCTCCTGAACGAGAGTCAGTGAGAGGGGCAACGGTGATTCATGAAAACCCTCGGCATCCTCCGCACACTAAGTTCAGCCTTCAATAAAGAGATTTACTTACAGTATGGCAAAAGGGTAAAATCAAACCAGCACTTCAGGTCTTTTATTTGCATTAGCCGGGTTTTTAAATTATTCTAGATGAACTGTGCTGCCTGCAATCCTGATATAACTTTGTAAATGTCTTTTTTTTTCTTCTTTTTTAAATTCTTGTGGGTGTTTTCTGATGTCTGTAGATTTTCTTAACTGCTGAAAATCGATTGGTCTTTAGGAGCAATGAAGTATTTAAACTCAACTCAGTTCAGCCTGAACAACAAAAACAAATTAATTTCTGTAATTTCATTTTTTTTAATTAAAACAGTATGAAAGAGTGCTCAATGATGGAAGGACAAAATGAAAGGATGAAAGAGTGAAAAAAGTATATATTATGAATTGACAAATAAGCTTTTGCTTGTATAAAATGCTCCCTCCGTTGCTCTTAGGTGGCAGCAAATCAGAGACATGGCTTATTATCACACAATGGTAGCAATCTAAATCAAAATCAAGCTGTTCATGTGAACGTTGCCCCTAAATGTATTTTACTGAAAGCTGTAGGGAATAAAGAGCTTGATATTTCATATATTTTTTGCTGGTTTTTTTCCTGTTGCTCTATTGGCTTTTTATATAGATGTGTTTTTACTGGCAGAAAGTCAGCATTATTATCAAAAGCAAATACAGAAGTGACATAAACAGAAATATGTTTAACTATTAGGTTTCAAGATTGATTACTTGATTGATAATTCTGATTAATAGATAGGCTCAAATTGCCAGGGTGACAATTATTTCAGTTAAAGTGTAATTCAAGTAAAAAATATCAACAAACATTCAATTTCAAAGAAGCATTTTCTGCTTGTTTATCACTCTGGAGAAATATCAGTACTCTATTATTAATCCATAACAACATTTATTTAAACATGTACACATACAATAGGTTGAGAAAAGAATTCACAGGTAATTGTTGATTTTAATGGTATGTAACATTAAAAATAGGATGGAGTTTTTCTTCATTAGCATGCAAGATTACTATACAGTGTAACCAACTATTACTGAAATAACGTCACAAACTAGGATCTTACAAATCAAAAACAGTTTTTTTTTTACAGCGTTTTCAAGTAATAACTGTGATCAAACTTTTTTTTTTACATGAGTGACACTCCAACATTATACTACATGAACAAAAGGAAGTGAGAGAAAGCAGAAAATTATATGTTTTGTCTGTAAGAGCATGGCAGAAAGCATATTGTTCAGAGTGCTTTTTGTTGCAGCTAACGTTGAAAAGAACTTTCCCAGCTCTCTCCACATCTGCCTGATCCATTCTCTTTTCAAAGTTTTTCTTTTTTGTCGCTTTTTGCTTTGCAGGATTTTCCGTCAATCTTCTCCTTGGCCATTGTGCTTGCATCCTCACTAGAACTTTGTGTCCTCAACCAAGACAGACCCCGGTACCTCCAGTAGCAGCGTGGTCTGAGCCTTCGCAATGTTCTCCAGCACGCCCTGCGAAACGTGTGGGAGGAAATACAGAACAGAAGCGGGTCCAGAGCACCGTTGATGTACCACAGCGGCAGGGACAAATACGATTTCAGGATGGTGTAGACGGAAAGAACTCTGTCAGACCAAACAACCACATACACCTGCATGAGGGACGATGCAATGTCTGGAAAGTTGAAGAGAAAAAAAGCCACCACAACTGCACCTGAGAAGAGAAAAAACATTAAGAAGCTTAAAAGTACTGACTACAAACACATACATTTACTGTTATAAGTTTATGTTGAAACACTCTCACTGTTTAAACTTTACCACACTTTGCTGCATCTGCATTCCCACAACCAACATGCAATAAAATGTATGTTTTTCTTTTGCTCACCCATTAGTTTTAAAGCCCTCTTTTCATTTAAAAGTAGCTTTCCATTCCGATGGCACTGAATGTCTCGCCTTCCCTCTAAATCTGGCCTCATAAGACCCATGTTTCTCCTTTGACGACCATTCTTCCGTAGGTGGAGTAGGATGAGCATGTAGAGTGTAAAGATGGAGACCAGGGGGACCTGTAGTCAGACAAGAATATTTAGTGCTCATGTCTGATGCTGAAACAGAGACCTGAAAAACTGACCTTACCAGGAAGAAGAGCCCAGCTCTCAGGAGTAAGGCTCCTTTGTAGATATGAGCAGGATCGGGTTCTGTCATTTCACACATGGTGGAGACCTTAAAAGCATCTTCTTGTGTGGTTGCTGTGTAGTCGAGGATGCAGGCTCTTGCCTGGTCGTAAACCAGTGCGAATGGCACAGCCGACACCAGGGAAACGATCCACACAGCGACGAGACATGGCAGTCGAGACTTCTTTAGGACGGAGAGGAGAAAAGGTGGGGAAACACTGTTATTACAGCATCTTTAATTCATCAGCCTTTCTTCCGACTGCTAATTGCTAAGTGGGACACAAGGTGGTAATCATGATCAGTCAAGACATGGAAAACAATTATTCACTGATGCCCACGGAGGAATATACTGAGTGGATGAAAAGTCAATGAGCCCAGAAATGTGATAATTAAGGGTGAATCAAACTGTGGGTATTGAGGGTGGTGAAGACCGCAGAAGGGACCAATTAAAAATCCTTCATTTGAACTTTTTTTTTTTTTAACTGGATGAGACATGGGTGGGTCCCAATATTGTGCAAAGGTTTTTAAGATGTTATGGATTGATGTCCTTTAAATGAGAAGTAACACAGTACTTACTATCTGTCACATGTTGATGTACAAAATTGCAACTTCACTCAAAAAGGCAACTAGTTTCCCTCGCTGACAGAAATATGGATTTGTCTGTAAATATTTCTGATCGTACTGTTAAAACTAAAAACTGAAGGAGCACAACCTTTTACTCTCATTATAATATGGCTGTTTTGAAACTACACTTGCATGTTAACGCCTTATTTTTAAATTGTCTTTATTTAAAAATGTATTACTTCCTTTTTACAGCAATCAGAGATCCCAACTCAGGCAGAAGGACTG